AGAAGGCATGAAAGGAAGCAGGGAAAAAAGAAAAATCTGCAGCTGCCTGCTGAATTATGTCTCTTGTAGCACTCTGCTGCACCCTTACTCCTGTTATCTTGTACAGTTAGGCAGCTCATACACCATGGACAAACCAGTATGTGTTGATTTTCTTAAAAATAACAGCAAGTCTTTAACTCCAGCCAGGATAATAGTAATGACGGCCAAGACCACATCTTGAGAGGGCTTTTTTCCCATTACTCATTCATTAGGCAAAGCACTAACTGAAACTACTGCTAATGAATCACTGCTGCCTATCAAAGTTGAAACAGCAACCTGAAAAGAGAAAATAACAGTATGTGGTCAACTTTGAACATAGTGCAAAACCCCTTTTTCTTTTTATTATTTTGAGTAGCTCCAGGATGTTGCTAATCCTATAACATTCCCCCTAATAAGAAATGTGTGAAGAAAGGTTTCTCTCTCATCCTCTCCCTTTAGAGCATCTATGGATAGAGATTTTAATCCTCCTCTCAATAAATCACCAACATTAGTTGATTTTCAGTTGTCCTTAATAAATTGCTCAGATCTTAACATGCTGGCTTCATCTGTGGTGGTTAGCACTTATTCTGAATTGCTAGGGTTTCCTATCATAAATTCACTTCAGAAATATTAATTTAATGCTTCAGCTATTTCATTATTTTTTTTGATTTGGTTCCAAATCATTTTCCTGGCATCCCATTGGAACAAACACAGAGGCTTATGCTTAGTATATTTATTTTCTGTCTACTTCAGGTGCCACTTATTTTCTGCTGTTTGAAACCTGTAGTGTGGGTAAATGTATGGAATAACCATCTGATAGCTGTTACACTGATGTTTCCACATTTTTACTAGTATCTAAAACAATAGATTGTGTTTGCATATAACTGCATATTTTGCTATGTGTTCAATAATATTTATTTCTTTAGCAAAAATCCAAAGCATCCATATAGAAAAAGTACCTTTAGTAAGCACTTCAGAAATATGGATACATTCAGGAAACAAATATGTGAACAAATCCATTGATTACGAAAAGTTACACAGAAAGCCAGCAACACAGCAGGAAATTGAAGTCTTTGATTCCTGGACCTGTTCCCATGTACTAGATCTAAAATCATGCTGAGTCACTGGAGGAAGTCTGCAGTGCTAGTTGTCTGAAGACAATTTTTGCAAATACTTTGTAAATAATATTTGACTTTTTAGATGAGAACTTTCTCTTCCTTGGTGGAAGGACAATCCATTGGCTGTAATGTATTTGAGGTGCCATCTCCCATTCAAGAAAATTTGGGTCACAGAGAGCACAATGTTATGTTTGCTCTGCTCTTTGAAAGAGGTGGCTGCTCAGCCCAATTGCCAGGCTGCTGGGCTGGGCAGACCCTTGGCCACTCTCACTGCCGCTATTTGCTGCACAGCTCACTATTTGGTGAAGCTCTACTATTTCCCTGATTCTTTCCTTGCTTTCAGTGATTGACTTGCTTATCTACTGGAGATGGTTTCTTTTACTCAGCATGGCTTACTTTGCCTGGTAGCGTTGTAATTCAGATATTGCTATTTTATTGCATTTTACACGGCTCAAAAAGGGCAAACAGACCTCAGAGAATCATATCTTTACTACATGTCTTAAAACAAACATCATCAAATAGCCTAATGGGATGTCAATGAAAATGAGGAAACCATCCTCTGATGTCAGCCACAAGCATACTAAAGATAATACACTTCTACATTATTTATTAATGTAGAAGTAACTAATATTTAATTTAGTTATTCAGTTATTTAGGTATTTAGTTTAATATTAACTAATATTTTATTTAGTTATTTAGAGAGAATTTCACTGGAAAAATAACTTCCACCCACTCTTGAGATCCAATCCATTTTTATGGAATCCTGCATGCTGGTCCTGTCCAGGATGTAGCCACCGTAATTGTGCCCTTTTGATGTGCAGATTACATTGATAACTATAATGGAATGAATGAAAAGTGTACTTCATTACCTTGAAATTATCTGAAGCACCTGGGTAATTTTGATTACACTCACATAAAGCTCTGTGTAAACAAACTATTTTATTTTATTTTTACAATTTGCTTTTTCATTTAAGGTCTTACTGAGATTTTGGCTGCGTAAAAGAAGATAAAAGATTGTTGAAGGAAGGAAAGTCAGTTTATATTCAGCAAAACAATATGTCATAAAAAAAAAAAATTCCTTGAAGCAGAATAAACTCAAGCTCAGTTGCCTAAAAGTGATCAACATGATTTTGTACTCCCTGTGCATTACTTGTCTTCTTTTGACAGGAGAAGTTACATAGCAGAAAGAAAATCCCATTTGAGTCCTGTTGATGTAGCACTTCTGAAGCCAGTGAGATCTCTCTTGTGTTCAAAAGTATTTGCTGACATGAATAAGTGGATAATACTTGCTGCATTTCTGTTTTCCTCCTTCCAGCAAACTGTAAATGCAAACATGCATTTTTGTACTAGCTAGTGAGTCTGCATTATTAGCACAGTTTGGTCAGAATTTGCAGGAAAGTTTCAAGGGTTCAGAAGTAGGATATGGTTTGTTATTTTTTTTATTCCTTAAAAAGCACAATTAAAAATAATTAGTGCACTGTTTTGTGTGACCATAGTCTCATTTTTATATTCATACTTGCAAACTGGGTTTTAATATAACAGAAAAGGAAAAAAAACTTACAATGTCATATTTTAGCAGAAGCTGATTTTGCATTTTCTAGGGCTTAATACAACAGTTCTTGGGCAATCAATGACTGCACCAATATTGCTCCATTGTGAGAAATATTGAGGGTTATAAAATACCCTGTGACTATTTTTAACCAGAGATCAGTGTTAAGCTGATTAAAATAAATGTTTGTTTAATTGAAACAGAATTACAGTTATTACATAGTAAACTGCTCTTTACATTGAGAGTAAGGCCAAATTCAGTTGCAGAAAAACTGCATGAAGGAGTATCTTTCAGGCTCATTTATTCTTTGTTCTGCTTTATTTTGTTTTGCTTTGATCCAGATTTATCACAGAGGTTTGGTGGGGGTTTTTTTGGATTGGTTTTGTGGGATTTTTTGTTTGGTTTGGTTTTATATCTGTAAAAGGAAACAGAAGTTATGCTGGTTGCGGGAGAAGATCTTCTGTTGTACAGGTGGTCATTGTTAGCACAACCTCGGGGTTTCTCAACAGTGTTGCAAAATTCAGCCCCATCACAGAAGATGTCACTGATCTGGGGGGCCGAGCATGGCTGGGGTGGATATCTTGGTGAGAGGTCTGGAATCAGTGGAGGCAGCTCTTCCCCTCTGGCTCCACACACTTTCTCTGCTATCACTGAACCTTCTGGGAGAGGTGGCAGCCCTTGCTTAGAGCGGGTGCTGTGCCTCATTTCCATTGGCCTCTTAACATTTCGCATTGAAAACAAATCCTGGTGAGGGATACAACCTATATATGAGAAAAACAGGATGTATGATTAATCTCACATCTCCTCACTTTGGCAGGGGAGATACTGCTTCTTTCTCACTTACCTGGTTATCTCAAGGACTAAGCAGAAGGAAAAGCCACATTTGATCATATCTACTGGCTTCCTGTAATTCAGCCTCGTCCATTTGTGTTGCACTCACCAGGTTGCCAATTTTTCTGACTCAAGATGAAACACACCCATCATTAATTCAAGCCAAACCCACCAAGGTTTTGGAAGATCTGGAACTGAGCTCTTGAGTACCTCACAGGACTTAATACTCATAAAGACAATTTTGACCTGTTGTGGCAGCCAATTATATAAAACAATCTATGTGGTTTAAAACATTATCACCAGAGATAAGGAAATCAAAGTCACAGTATAAGCTTATTCTTCCATATAGTGTATCAACCTATGAAAATATTCAGAGTACTCCTTCACAAAAGTGAATTAATGATTAAATGGAAGATGTCTGATGCTTTATCACCATTTATGTTTGTCCTTTTGTAAGAAGAGTTGTTGTGTTGAACTCTCTGTGTGTGGAGACACAAGGCTTGACTCCATTTCAGAAGGCTGATTTATTATGTTATATATTATATTAAAATGCTACATTAAAACTATACTAAAAGAACAGAAAGAAAAGAAAGATCAGAAGGCTACAAAGAACAGGAATAGAATAGAATGCATAACAAAATCCTGTGACTGCTCACAGTCTTGTCACAGGTGGCTGTGATTGGTCATCAACTGAAAACAATCCACATGGACCAATGGAAGATGCACCTGTTGCATTCCACAGCAGCATATAGTTATTGTTTACATTTCTCTCCTGAGGGTCTCAGCTCCTCACGATGGGAAAAAATCCTAGGAAATGATTTTTAATAAAATCATAGCTACAAAGAGTGGCATTAGTTTATTTTAAGGAAAAAAAAATAGAGGTAGCCTAACACTTTTTAGGAGCTTTAAAATGAAAAACAAAGGCTCTGGGCAATACAATCCTGCTTCCAAAATAATAATTCCTTCCACAGCACATTTTCAGGACGTTTTTATTTTTAATGTAGATAATGATGCATTCTTCAAAGTGTACAGATATTCTTAACTTTCAATTATTACAACTTGAATATTAATTACTTTCATACAAATAGCTAAATATATTGACAAAGAAAAATGAAGCCGTAAAAAGAAATTACTGAACATCTGCTATTGTGAATGAGTTTTTCATCTGTGACTATACTCAGATTGTGTCAATACAAACTTTCAGGCACAGCATATTCCCTTGAGAAGGTTCCTTTTTATCAGCATACTAATTGCATTCATAATGAAATACATGGATACTTTTAATTTTGATTGTCTAATTCTCCATATTGTTCATAAAACAAAAGGTTAAGAATGACCATATCTGATGTTTATGCCAACAATCATTTTGATTGATACCATATGTTGGGATTTTACATATCTTTTTCCTTTCATATGAGTTCTTAGCATTCTGATATAAACTAAACAAAAGGGAAAGCTTATCGAAGTCTTGAAAGTATAAATTACTATGAATTCCAACCTACTACAACATGAGCAACAAGAAGATAGCACATCCCAATGGTACAGGACACGATCATCATGGGGAAACCTAACCTGGAACAACAATAAAATAAAGCAAAGATTAATAAGGATACTAGAGTTTGTTCTCCAAACAATTTACAGCAAAGATATTTTGAATTATCCTACATATTCCAAGTGAAAAATATGTTTATAGCAATACCAAAAGCAGAGATGTTCTGAGCATATAACAGTATCATATTCAAGCTCACCTTTCTACCTCTAGCCTTAGAGATACCAGGTCAAAATTCACATAGTTTCATTGGTTTCAGAATGTCTGTTCCAATTTACATTGTCTCAGAATCTTGCATGCGTTATTGTTTTGGCATTTTTCAGATTTTTTCTCATGCACACAACATGCAATTACACAGGTAAAATAACAATTCTTACAAATTATGCAGCATTAGAAATTACTTTCAAGCATGCATCCCTTCAGATTAGGTGAGTGATCCTGGTATGGCACTTTGCAACACAATATATGGATCAAACTCATTAAATTGTTTCCCTGTTGATCTGAGTCACATACAGCTAGCACTCCTCTTTCATACCTCTCACCATGTCTAACAGACTTGAGTATTAACAGGCTATTGGAAATAAACCCCAGGCATTTGTAAAATAGCTAAAACTTTACTGTTCTACCCAAAAAACTATTTCATTTTCACCACAGGGAAAGATTTTCAGATAACACCCAGATTTAATACCTCTCTTTAGACTGACAAACACAGGGAGCACAGACAGACGAGTGAAAAGGATGTTGTGGAGTTGGCCAAGTCCTGATGGCTAAATCTGTACATCTTTCAGATATGTGTAAAAGAAAGAAGTTTTCTGAAACTCAAAAGCATTTTCATGTGATACAAGCAGTCTGTGAAAAAAAAACGCTGCTGTGATCACACTTATTTGTTTTATGTTACTAAAAACACAAGGAGAGCTGAGATGAGAAATGATCATGCCACAAATGATACCCTTATACACTTTCTTTTGCCAGATTCAGACAAGAGTTTTCATAAAACTTAGAAAAGCACAGCAATGTTTTCTGAAGTTCAGCATTTTATTAATTCTTTTTCTTGAACTAAGACCAATTTACACATGTGGGTATATTAATTCTGCCTTTTTGCCTTACTTTGCCCTTAGGAAGTTACTTGAGCCTTTTCCCCTGTGCCATATAATGACAGAGTACTAAGAGATAACCATTTTGTAGGGGACAGGAGGACATAATTCTCTGAGCTTGGTTGAATGAGCAGCTCCTTCCTTTAGCAAGTTATGGCTAGAAGAGATGTCTTAGGGCATTAAATGTAGCCTCCACTTCCTCAGGCTGGGAAGCCCTTGCATAAAATGAAAACTAAACTTCTCAATTGCTCATTGCCATCTTCTTTCTACCTGCAGCTGTGGCATTACCCTAAACTCATAAGATCCTCATGAGATGCTTCTTGCATTGCTGTTTCTCTGGAAAGCTGACTGGCAGAGGCATAGACATCACCAGCAGACTTTAACAGTCATTGGTTTGAGTTTTGGAGAAACTCTACTAGCAGTGAAGGTCACTGCAAACACAAAAATAATCAGCCCTAGCCTATAGAGTTTGTAGAATAACTGGGAAATTAATGAACACAAGCACTCTAAAAATATATATTGGAATTATTTAGGAAAGAGCAAGTTTGTCCATAATGCCAGCTTCATGGTCGCTCAACCCAGTATGGAAGTGTGCGCACCTCACACACCTACAGAAATCCAAGAGATAAAAAGTAAACCCCGTCAAGACAGAAAATGTGCAAAGAGAAGACTGCCAGACTGGCAGGTGATCTCATTTCTGTGTCCTTGACACCCCTCTGAAGAAGTTGGCCTGCCTCCTTGTGTACAAGTGTCCCTGTGTCCATCACCCAATATTGCCTGCAAGATCTGCCTCAGAAGGACAGTTCCCACCACGCCTGGCTCCAGCGGCTTTCTTCTTCATCCCTCTAAGGTTTTGGACCTGGTGAGCTGGCCTTTTCTGCCATTTTGGCATCAGGCATCATTATTGCTCTTCTGGCTCTGAAAGCATTGATGTTAAGCTGCCATTTGGACTTGGGAAAAAAAATGAGATTAGAGAGAAGGGCCAGCTGTGTCCAAGAGGTGACTGGAGAAAGGTACAAAAGATTGCTAGAAAGGGTTAGAGAATTGTCACAGCTTTCAAATATTTCCTGAAAAATCTGAAATGTATTTGGAGGATTTTTTGGAAGGTGAAAGGGGTTTTTTTTTCTTATGAACATGCATAAATTTACTGCAGAGAAGTGTTATTTGTTTTCCAATCCAACTGGTCAGATCCTTGCTTTTGAATGACTTGTTTCTTGAAAGAGCTGCATCATTCTTCAATCATTAAACTGTGATCAAGCTGATTATATTGTAAAACAGAAGAGCTAATGCTTCTCCTGTAGTTATTTTAGGAAAAATAAAAAAAACAAACAAACAAACAAAAAAAAAGTAAATTAATTTCCTGGCTAGCCAGCTGTTTTGCAGACCCTTCCCATTCTTCTGTCAGCCAAACTGATCTGCGGCATTGCCTAATCTCACTTAGATAAAAGTGTCCTGATAGTACAAAAAAAAGAAAACCCAACAATGGCTATAGGAATAAAATAGGGTAGCTAAAACCCCCTACTACATTCTTTAGTATATTTAATGAATGCCCCCTGTGGCTCTATCTCCATGACAGGCTAGCAAGCTGGAGATTGCTACAGCACTTATAAGAGCAGCGGCTGCTATTTGACAGAAAATATAGATCTCTTGACCTCATACTTGGCAAGCAATGAGCTGCCACTGGGGAAGATTGGAGACAAAGCAGATCTTAGTCTGTATTAATGCCACCTAACAAACCTCCCTAGAGAATGCACAGTAGTTCAGCAATGAATGGCCGTAATATGCCTTTGTGAAGAATGGCAAGAGGAGGAAAGGATCCAAAAAATATTCAAGGGCTAGTTGGTGACTGAAAAGAGAACAAAAAGGTTTGCTCAAACTTGGAGGAGGCACACGCAAGAAAATGGATTAATTATACAGGGCCACATGCAGGAATTGGGATCATACCACCACTGTCACAGCGCCAGCCAAATGTGTAGCTGGAGGCAGGAGCAGCCAGCCTGGGAAGGAGCCTCACTGCGCATAGTGTGGATGCTTGCATAGGGCACAACTGCAAAGCTGTTATTCTCATTGCATGGGCAATTACCCCACAACTTGAGGTCTGAATTTCAGGCTCGCTGGCCTGAGCTCTGATGTAATTGGATCAAATTCAATGTGGAATTTGTGTACCAGAGTGAGAAGAGATAAACACAGTAAGTATTAGTTACTGCAGAGTTAATAGATTCCTTGAGAATCATGGGATCATGCTATTTACACTACCCATTGCTCTTCCCCAAGGAAAAAAAAGTTCCTGTCCCAGGCCACATATGACACAATATACGGACACAAATGGTTTTTTAAATTATATTAAGTCCAAGAATGCGTATTAAACAATGTAAAAATTACTTCCAGCCACTTTTATTTCCAGCATACCCCTTGGAATCAAAAAGGACCATGTCATTCTTTTGCTCCTCTCTAAGGAAAAGGATCAGTGGAGTTTAGAAGTAATCAAAACCTTTTGTGTTCTAAAACTTTAAATTCATAAGAAACACTAATGATCATATTTGCTTAAAAATACATTTTTGCATCCTGCACTTCACTTTCCTTGTCTCTTCCTCTCTGCAGAGAGGGATATATATATACACAGAGCCTGTATGGTTCAAAAAGTGCATCTTGGTGCTCCGTAGCAGCTGAGGGAGGGTTTACCACTGCAAAGAGGAAGCAAGGTCAGATTCAAGAAAGGATTTAGCAGTCACCCCCTTTTTCCCCTCCTCCTCTTCATATTAGAGGCTTATGTGGAAAACTCCTATCTAAATGAAATCGCCCAGCCTAAATAGACACAAAAAGCAGATGTCAGCTCAGTGTGAGATAGTGAGAATGTTTCAAGTGAGAACCCCAGGGACCTGTCTTGGACAAAATTTTACTTATTAATAAATTCAGCGATCCAGTAAGGAAAAGCTTGAAAATTGTCCCAGTGTGGGAGAGATGTCAGAATCTGTGGAGAGCAGAATTCAGCATGTTCTTTCTTAGAAAATCAAAATGAGAATTTGAAATTAACAAAATGAAACTCTGTGAAGGTAAGCGTGAAATATGTATTAGAAGTCAACTGTGGGCATAAAACTAGCAAGAGAAGTGAACCTTTTTTGCTGGAAATTACCTAGATATATCTAATTCTGTCTCACTGTGAGATTTCTGGCCCTGTATTTACTTGGAAGAAAAAAACCCCTGTATGATTATTCTGGGAATAAAATCCATTTTTAATGAGTTTCTATGGAAGTGAATATTACAGTTTTCTTAGGTTATAAGTTTATCCAATATTATTTGCTAAATAATAATAGTGAAGCCTTTGGGGTCAGAATTGAGTTTTCTTGAACAAACTGGTTTCCTACATTACCTTGCAGCTCTATTTTGTGATGCTTCAAGAGCCAGTAGGATCCAGTATGTATAAGACTCAGGTTCATTGCCCTATTCTGCTTGATTTGGGACACAAAACACAAGATGTTCTCATGCATGAAAATCTTGCCTACATGCACTACCTTCACTGACAGCTCATAACTTGCACAGCCTGTGCATCCTTGGGGAAATCTGTGGAAGGAGCATGTCTCCTAAGAAAGGAGGAACCTTCAGTGGATTCTCAGTGGAAAAACAACAGCAGAAATCTCCCAAGCCCAAACCGCTGGCAGTGAAAGAAGACTGGTGGTAGACAGGAGTAAGAGTTTAAAAAAATTAAAGCTAACTTCTACTCCTACTTGTATTTGCAATTTAATGCAAAATTTAAATTCAACTAGTAGAGTTTCATCAGGCTTAAAATTTTGGTTTTTCTCAATTTGTTTTAGTTTCATGCTGCAAGGTCTAAAGAAGTTATAACCTCAGCTTTTGCAGAAACAGACAGGGCCTGGACAGATGGTGGACACTAATTGAACATGAACTGTGAACTTGTCTTTGCAACAAGG